TTCTTTCTTTCCTGGTAAAGCCATAATAATTCATACTATTATTAGAGGGAAAATGTCTCTTTTTTATGTTAGTCTGTGGGCAATGAATCTTTTGACTTTAATAACTTGGGTCCAACAGCATGATGGGGAAATTATGTGTGGCCCTGCCTTGTGCTTGTCATTCACATGACTTTTCACATTCCCATTTCCTTCACTAGAAGGAGAAATAACTCAAATGCATGCTGACCAGTGATTCAACATGTAGAGATGCTGGGAGGATTTGTTTCTACGGCACTTCAGGGGATGCAACCTCAATCCTCCAGGTCCCAAGGACTTTGATTTCCTGGTAATTGTCATAGGGAGAACTCTGCCACAGAGAGCTGTAGAAAAGTATACTTTAACTTGGATCAAAGGACTTCTTAACTCTTTATTACTGCCATGAGCGATTTATCATTGTTATTTGGGGAGAATATGTAAGAGGAACATCATTAATGGTTTTACTAGCATGTAGCATTTTGGATTATAAATTGTGTGACCCTTTTTATATTCATAATTGTCTAATAATGATACCATTTCCTAGGTAGTCTGTGGAATGATCTTTTCCCCCCTCCCTCCTTTCCCTCCTCCCTCCTTCCTTCCTTCCTTCTCAATGTGGTGGTCCATGTGAGATGAAGCAACAGCTCTCAATGTCTGAATGTGCTAATGTCACCAAGCCCTGCTCTTGCTATCTCCTTACAGGAAATAGCTCAGACTCATCATCCACATTTTACCCAGGTTATCTGTTTACTTTCTCACTTCAGCTTGTCCTGGCAGAGCCTGGAGTACTTTGCTGTTTTCCCCTTTGCTGATTCCCAAATGAGAAAATAGATGGAACTTGCATAAGAATCTCCACATCATATAATGAGCCTGAACACCCAAAGGATATCATTTCCACAAACCGAAATGCCACTCTTTGGGGGGTGGGGGAAGCTCCTACAATGAGTGGTCATTCCTATCTCCACACCTGAAGGAACACTATGTCCAAATGAAATGTCAAAAGCAAGAACCTGAAGGGGCCACAATCAAAAGAAGGTGGGAGGGATACGATCATGTACAGGACGGGCATGGTGGACAGGAAGAGGATGAGCAATAGCATGCTGAGGTAGAAATTATTCGATCTGGAAGCTTTGAAGACCCTGGCCTCAGGAACATTGCAACACATCACGGCCCAGCACTGGAAGTACATGGATGTGTGGAGTCTCAGGATGTTGATGCCTGGGAGGCTGGGAGCGAAGAAGGAGCCCATCCTAGAAAGAAAAACACCGCTCTTGCTCAGTTCAAGTCTTCTTGAAAGTCAACAGCACCTTTTCATTTCACATCATGCTTATAGACCAAAGACAGAAAATGGATTGCCACTTTCCACCACACAAACCCTTTTTACAGATGTGACTAATCAATTTCCATTTTCTATACACGTTTTACCATCTCCCCCATCAGTGCAGGTAATTCTATCCCTGATTCTTTCACAGCAATTATGCTTCTCACTAATGTAACTGCTATCATTAGTAAATCTAAACACCAGAGTAAACAATATATTACTTATTTACATCTCTCTTCTACTTCTAAAATAAACTTAATTATATTAATTTAGTCTATCTAAAAATTTAACTTTTTAAAAATAAATGACCCTTAAAACCACTCATTTTATTAAAATAAACCACACAGTTGGACTAATTACTTTTGTCATGGCTAATTTATTTTTGCTTAATGAAAGAGAAAAAATTAAATAAGGTTTTTTTTCTGATGCTCTTTTCTATTTGTGACTGCTACAGCATTTTAGAGCTGATGGAAATGACATATTGATGCCTAATAATATAATGTGTTTTGTTGATAATCTACAGCAAGCTTTGTATGTTTGAGATGAAAGTTCAACACAGACATTTAATTTAGCTCATCTATTTACTTTCTTACTTTGGGTTGTCCTAGAAATCCACTACTTTGTACATCTGATTTTTTAAAGTATTTTTAAAAGCCACTTTTAAACAGGAAGCACTTAGGTGAGGTCACTTTTACTTTATAGCTCCACTGGTTATCGCAACAAAATAAATTTCAATTATCTCTGATGAGAAAATCCATTAGTACCATACAGCCACATTAATAGCAATTTATTAGTCCAAAACAAAAAGAGGATATATGGACATTTATTTTAGAAGAATAAGCAGTGTCCTATTTTTTAAACTGTCCCAAGTATAATAAAGCCCTTAGCAATTCTAGTTGGGGTTAGCATTTTATATTTCCTGCATATGTAGAGTAGCTGTTTTAACCAATCCAATATAAACTGGTATATTACGTGGCAGGAAGAGTTGATTTAGATGAAGAAATCAGTTTCTGCTGTAACCGAACTTGTGCAACCCAACATTAAACCATTTCCTTGAAAAGCAGAATCTTGCCACAACTTGGATTGTCTCGATAGGTTTCACACAGCAGACCTGAATCATATTTTAACATTCTGAATAGACCAGAGATTCAATAGGAAGTTAAACTTTTTTTTCAATGGTATGGACTTCGAGTGATAATAATGTATCCATGCAGGGTTATCTATTGTAACAATATAGCATGCGGTGTGGGATATCGACAGTAAGGGAGGCAGTACATGTCTAGGGGTAGGGGGTGTGTGAGAGCCCTCTGTACTTGCCACTCAATATTGCTGGGAACCTAAAACTGCCCTAAAATATAAGATTTATTAGTTAAAATAAATAAGAGGACAGACTTGGGAACAACAAGTGTATTTTGTTCCAGGATAGCAAAGAGAGGATCTGGAACCTTAAAAATGTAAGCAAGTGAGTAACAGTTCCAGCTGAGGGGCCAGAATTACAAAGCACTACCTTGTATTCTCAAAGGCCAATATTAGTAATACAATATCCTTGCGGGTGATCACACTTGTCCCCTTTTAAAACTCAGGCTTGGGCCATGTGATTTGTTTTGACCAATAAAACAGAAATAAAAATGAGGTGTTTGACTACTGAGTGGGAACTTTAAGAGCCTTGTGTGGGTTTGGTTCTCTTTCACTCTGTGAATCTGACTGGTGATGTTCCAGATGGATCCTATTCTGTCAGTCTAGGATTCCATAGAGAGCGTAACTTACAAGAGCAGACCCCTCTACCAACTTATACTGGACATGCAAACAAGAAATCCTTTTGTAGCCACTAAGATTGGGGGCAGTGTTTCAATCCTGCACAACCTAGTTTACCCTAAGACACAATTTTGTAACTAATTCAAGACCTAGATTTGCCTAAAGCCATATATACCTATGCATATACGTACATCATTTGTCTGTGTGTGTGTGTATGTATGCACACATGTATTATAAATGCATGCATCTATCAATAAATAAACTTCAAATCTGCACAATATTTGTCACACAAGCATTATGAAGAAGTGACTCAAGAATCATAACCTAGAAAAACAGGTCTTGGCAGGTGATATCTGAACCTTAATGTTCACCTTATCTTTGCACCTGACTTACTAATCAGCTTAGCTCACTAAGTCCCTTACCCAGACTTGATTCCATCATCTGTCAGTTAAAGATCATCATAACACCACAGCCTTCTAAAATGCTTTTCTTCCAGGAAGATCAAAGCAAGTGAAAACTTCTTTTTAGCTCTCCTTATTACTCCAGTAACATGGTACATGTCAGGAAAATTATTCACATTTGATTAACTGAGAAAATGAGGCAGCAGGAGGTGACAAGACCAGAGGGAAGGTGCATGAGACAGTGTTGGAGCAGCGTCCAAACCCCTCTCTCTCTCCCTGGATGTTCTTTTCTGCCTCTGTATCCTGCTATCATAGAGTAGGGATATGACGTGTGTTCACCATTTAAAAATATGATTACAAAACCTCTGCTGCCTATTTTAAAATTAAGTATGTAATATAAAGGTTTACTGATCATTTCAGCCAATTCATAACAAAATGGATATTATCTATGAATGTTGGCTTTAATAACATCAGCATAAATAATAACCTCCACTATTTAGAAACTCCTAAAGCAGGAATTGAATTTCTCTAGTCACAAACCAATAGAACTGAATACAAAATCCCTGTACTCTTGACTGTTTCTGTAGAAAATAGCCAATCAGATCCTCATGCCCCAAAAGATCGTGGATTAACACATGTGAGCGCCCTGAACAGGGGAACCCCCTAGACTGCACCTCTCACTCCTCCCCCAGCACACCACAGCCCCACTCCTCCACCAATCTCCTGGGAGTAGGGAAAGACCATTCCCACAAAGCATTGACCTGACGGTGAATAACAGTTCTTTTGCTTCTTAAACTCTGTTAAGTGCATGAATATCTTTGTACACTCAAAAATCACACTTTCTGAAGTCCTCTTCAGATTAACTGGAACCAAGACTTGACCAATAACTGAAGAATGTGGTAGTCCAATAACAGTGGAGAGATTTTGATACTGGGTCTGCCCTTGAGAAAACTGAGGAGGAATTTTAATATGAACAATAGTGGACTGAATCATTGCAAAATTATAAGTGAAGACAAACAAAAGGACAGCAATTACAACAGCCTTTCTGATAATGAAAACGAATTTCGAGGCCAATCTGTTGTCTTAACTCTGAAAGAACAAGAAATAGACACACAGCATATGTCTGCCCAAATGGCAGCCCAGGCCTGAGGGATTTATGGCATTCAGTGGAAGAGCCAGGGAGCTTTTAAATTGGTACAGGCAGTGGTTTCTCATTCCTTCAGAGCAATGTTAGCCATTTCCTGCCATGAAAGGAGGATCCCCTCTAGGACATGAGACGTACAGAAGCCAGAGAAGGGGCTCTCTTTCCTATCTCTGTTAGGAGTGCCACGTTGGGTCGCTTTGACTTTCCTCCCTGCTTCAAGAATAAAGAAGGGATGCACTCCACTCCTTAAAAACTCAATGGACACATATACCATAACTTGCAGAATTTAGAGCACAAGAGTTACATTTTAAACATACCTGACAATGGAAAATATAATTGTTCTGTAGTCTTTTCTCCAGCCTGATTAGCCTAGTGAGACATAGGAATTTGACAGGCTTCATGGAGGAATGATGGAGCCCTTGACTATGGTCTTTATATTACTGAAGCAAGATAATTTTAGCAGTTGCAGACAGGTCCAGTCTCACAAGGGTTTAATAATTCAGACCAGCTATGGTTGAAGGCTTTGAGTAATATGTGCAGCTTGTACAGAAACTGACCCTAGTTACTGGCACTTGTAGGAAGGACAATGCTGTGGTCAGTAGCACAGTGTTACATCGGATGTGTCAATAGGATAAAGAAACTCAGTTGTAACTGCTTGTGGGTTGGGAGCTCTTAGTTAAGAGTGGCAGATTTCCAAGACACATGGTCCCCAGATGAATCGCACGCTGTGATTCAATTTTTAAACTCAAAAACAGTTTCTACTTTATCAACCCATCTTAACCTGTCAAGGTTTACAATGAGAATGCTTTCATTTAATAATAGATATGACAAGCCTTTGTACATCCAAAGAAATAATGCTGATGTGCAAATGGCCCTGTGAAACAAGGTAGAAATTAAAGACCATGTTTTTAACTTGACCTTTCTGAAACATGTGATTCATCTCAATGAACTATTGGATTTGGTCAGATACTATTTTTAAAAGTAGCTGTAAGTTATATATTAAATATATTCAGGAGAGATAACAAAATAAAATCAGTTTCTCAGAAAGGACTTACATTAATTTATTTCATACTTCGCATGTGATAATGAGACCATTAATGGTTCACAGCTAGAACCCAGTGTCATAGGATATAAAAATATAAAAACTCCTCAAATCATTTATGAACCAGAATATAGACCCCCTGTGTTTGATGAAAGAGTACTCTGCAACCCAAGGCAGATGTCTTTGAGGACCAAGATTTAAGATATGAAAAAAATATCTGTATAAGCTCTTCATAGTCATACACTTTGCAAAGGCAAACGTTGACTTAGACACAGATCATGGTCTCCTTTGACACCAGGTTGCAGTATTTTATGCAGTAATGAGGCTTCTCTACATGTGATAATTGTCCAATGGCAGGCTTACCAGATCATGCCTTGGTTGAAGATCAGAGCGAGGACATTGCCGCTGATGTCAAATTCAGTGTATGAAGGCTGGAGACACAGACAGTCACTGGATTAGCATCTCAAGTGATGCAAACTGAAAGGCAAGGGCCTCATGCTTCTGCACAGGTATGGCTGGGCTCTCACGACTTTCTTACAGCAGTAATAGCAGAATAATTGATATAATAAATAATTAGCAGTGAGTAAAATAATAAAGCACCCGTTTTGACACAGTAAGACTCATTTTAAAATGCTGTTATTCCATGCTGCACTGGTGTGACAAAATAGGCTGTCCTATGCTGCTGGTGGATGTAAAAATCAGAGCAACTTTGTAGAAAAGTATTCAAAAATACATATTAAAAGCATAAAAACCTCATTCTATTTCTAGGAATCTGTCTTGGCAAAGTAATCTTAAATGCTGACAAATTTTAACACAGAAACAAAGCCATCATTTAGCAAGTAAATAGAGTATATCTATACTATAATATGCATTGTAGCTAATTACAATCACTTTTGAAAGAATATCTACATCTGCAATAGAAAATTAGGCTCTTAATTTTAAACAAATATATGTAAAATCATATATTCATTATTTTTATCGATTCAACGTGAAATTATGTGTAAAGAAAAGACTTGAAAGTAATCAGAGAAATTTATAGTTGTTCTTTGTGCATGATGGAATATGGCTTTTAATTTCTTCTTTAAGTCCGGCATATTTTAAAATACTTTACAACAAGAAAAAGTGAATTTCATTTACAGTAAAATGGAAATACAACAAACGTTTAAGAAGTTATTCAACTCAATGTCCATTGTTTGTCTCCTAGAAAATACCACCCTATCTGGGACAGCACCACCAGGCTATAGATGTGACCCGAAAAGGACCTGAGCAGGGCATCTGCCCTAGCGCCGCCTATCCAAAGGTACCTGGTGGCACATTAGGCATCCTAAAAGGAAAGCTTCTATTAATGGGAGGAGCTAATTAGCAAAGGCAGGAAAACTGGCTCCTATTTAAGCTGAGATAGAGAATAATCAATCAGGAAACCAGCTAATTGGTAACAAAAGAAGGAGAGGACAGCAAAAAGTAGAAAGTGAGAGGACAGAGAAAACCATAAAAGACAGACCAAAGGAGTGGCAGGTCCCTATCTCTGCCCCGGATGCTCAAGTGAGCAGGTGTGACTCGGCCCCCATGTTATCCTTCATAACTCCCTCCCCACACTCACGGGCACACACTGCGCACACACAGCAAGATGACCTGAGGGTTTCTCTTTGCTTCTCAAGCCCAAGAACCCCAAAACGTATTTGTAGGAAAGGTATCACCAGTCTGTGATTTGAAAGCCTCACAAAACTATCCCAATTTTCTAATGCTCTGCCTCAAGAATTCTTGAACCCTGGCCTCAACTTCATCACTTTCCCAAAAGGCAGCAGGACTCTCCTAGTCAGTGGGAAGGTATGGGCCGTGTGCCTTGTAACAGATTCAGTCAGTAAACAGCAAGAATGGTGTAACAGGAATGGTCCAGTAAGATGAAACATAGTGACATAATATATGGCCCTGTTTCATCAGGCAGGACAAAGATGACCTGAGGTCAACATATATTCACTCAAGATGCTGCTAAAGGATACCCAAAATGTCTCATTGGTTTACAAATTATCTACAAGCATAACATTCACAAGATGCAAAGAGGTTGGGGTGATAGTTTTCATTCTGAAGTCAACAATGAAAAAAATCTGTTCTTCATAGAGAACAGTGAACTGCTTCTAATCTCAAGAAATGTTAATGTTGAGTCTCTCCCCTTCCATGGGAGCACTGTGCTCTGGTCATCTATTCCTTTTTCCTGGAGCCCTATGAGGTCACAGAACACATCTGACAAATGCTCAGGTGGGAAGCCTGAGCCATCTGTGGTCTTGGACCAGCAGTTCTCTGTGTCAATTAAAGCATCAAATCTTCAACTTTGGCCTCTTTAGAAGAGTGTCATGAGTTAACCCACTAAACTATGGGGAAAAAAAAATTCACCCTTTTAGAAATATATTTCCTTTCCTCTCACAAGCACGGAAACCTCTTAAAGACCATTCGAAATGAGATATTTTTACAACCAGGTAACTCGTAAAGCACAAAGGACACCTTGGGAATCCCTGACCTCATACTGTGTTTACAGCATAAAAGCTGTAAGGAGGAACAAAACCTCTGAGGGCATAAATTGTCCTGATGCAGAGAAAGGGTGCAGGCAGCCCTGTTGTACCAAGTGGTCTTGTGGTTCGGACACTTGCCTGGGACGCTGACCTGAGTGTCTGACTTGGCCCTGCACTTCCCAGCTGGGTGAGCTGCGCTAGTCACTTCTCTCCTCGGGCCTCAGTTTCCTCACAGATAAACTAATGAAATGAGTGAAGTCAGGGGTTGACACACTGTGGCCCATGAGCCAAATCCGGACCACCATCCATTTTTGCAAATAAAATTTTATTAGACCACAGCTACATTCCTTTCTATTGTCTATGGCCATTCGGGACTAGCAAAGGAGAGCTTAGCAGTTGCAGCAGAGACCATATGACCTGCTGAAAGGAAAACCCCTTGTTTTCCTCTCCACTCTACTCAAAATTCTTCTGACACAAATGTGTGGGTTTTTCACCCATACCAAGCAATTTCCCAATTTTCTGTGGATGTACACTAGATGTCCTACAATTGAACTCAGTTCTGCCACTAACTGTCTAGAATTAGTGCAGCCCCTACAGGTTAAGGGCTCAGTCCCACAGACTGCCCCACTTCAGATGCCATGGCGAGTTCAGGCTGTCGCTTATGCTGACTGACTAGCTATTAATCAGTCATTCTCATGACTCCCTTCTCAGGTTTGATAATTTGCTAGAACAGCTCACAGAACTCAGGGAAACAGTTTATTTACTAGGTTACTAGTTTATTATGAAAGGATACAGATCAGGCACAGAAGGAAAAGACAAATGGAAAAGATTCATCTGGCACAGGGTGGGGGAGGAGCACGGAGCTTCCATGACCTCACCTGTTATGCACACCACCCACCCAAAACCTCAATGTTCAGCAACCCAGCAGCTCTCCAAATTCCATAGCCCACAGTCTTCATGGAGACTTTATCAGTAGGCACCATCATTAGGAACTCAGTCATCAGCTCTACTCCCTTCTCCGGAGGATGGAGGGTAGCGTTGACAGTTTCAAGTTTCTAATCATGGCTTGGTCTTTTCTGGTGACCATCCCCCATCCTGAAGCTATCCACAAGTCTACCAGGATTTGCCTCTTTAAGACAAAAAATATTCCTGTACCTCAAGAAATTCCAAAAATTTAGGAGTTCTATTTCAGGAACCAGGGTCAAAGACTAAATATTAGAACAAAATATGTTCTTCCACTGTTTATCTTTTAGGGAATTACAAAGGTTTTAGGAGCTCTGTCCAGGAGCCAGGAATAAAGACCAAAATACACATTTCTTATTATTATCACCATCTCACTTGCAGAAGTGAAAACACTTACTGTCCAGCTCTTCACAGAGAAAGTTTGATGACTTCTGAACTAGAAAATTTCTAAAATCCCTTTCTAATCTAAAATCTGTAATAGGTTGAAAATTAGACCCTGTTACTAAAGAATTATTTCTCTGTAAACACCTTAGAAATGCAATTTAATCCTGTATGCATTAAACTCAGAAATTCCTGCTCTAAAAATGAAACAAATATAAGAAGGCCAATACATATATACATATAAACAGTATAAAATTCAAAGCTCATTCTTTTAGCAGTGGATTAAAAAATATATATTATATTTAAAAAGTTTTTAAAGCAATATTTTAATAAGTGTAAGACAATTTGTAATATGTTTAATTGCCACTAAAATAATAAGAGTAAAGGTAAGTGATACTTGGGAAAAACAGCTTTTCTTGCAACCTGAAATAATAAAATTATTCAGATGGGCTAAGTATAATAAAGTCACTAAGGACCACTCATCCTTAATGATATTTTTAGGGGCTGGCAACAGAGAAGCCCATTTGGAGTGAATTGGGTCCATAACAGTGAAGGGATTAGAAATGATTTTTATTTTGGGACCTTTGGTTTTGGTGAGTGAGAGTCAGTCATCTACCAGCCATCTACCCAGAAGCAAGAAAGATGGTGCTCTTTGGACTAAAGAGCCTGGGAAAACCCATCTCTGCACGTTTAGTTACTTGGGGCAGATCATTCATCTGTGGATATCGTAAAATGCAATTCAGCACCTCAGAGACACTTCTGTCATTGCAATGACCAGTCTGACTTTCTTCACACAAATCTCATTTCCCACAGTTGAAATCACTCTGCTCAGAGTTGCAGCCTGGCCTGGCCTGTGGCTCTAGGGCTGTGATTCCCAAGTGTGGTCCCCAGAGCAGTAGCACCAGAGAACCTGTTAGCAAAATAAACTCTCAGGATCTGCCCCAGATCCACTGACTCAGAACCGCTGGTTCTCACATGCCTCCAGGAGAGTGTGATGTAAGCTCAGACTTGAGAAGCTCATCTAGGACAAATCCTAGCCTCACCTACCAGGATGACACAGCACCTCGGGGCTTCTTACTTCAACCCTAGTTGCCAGCAGACAGATTCAGACCAACATCCAAGCAGAATACCAAACCCAGGCTGTATCACTCCTTTTCACACTTCTACCCCTTCGTGACTTCTCATTGACTCTTTATCACACTGCCTTTCTGAACTGCTAGATAATATCTTATTCCAGCTAAGAATACCAGTTCATCTTCTAATGCTACTTCCCAGTCCCTCCTGCTAACTCCATCCCACTGCAAGTGACATCTCTAAACCTGGGTTATAAACATCATATATCAGGGCATGAATTAGTCATGATTTGGCAAAATCCTTGAAATCTCTAGAGTTAAGCATTTAACATGATGGAAATCTGGTTGATGGTTTTGAGGTCCAATTGACATGAATTTGAGTCCTAGCTCCACCACTCACTAAGCTATGTATTTTTGAGCAAATTATTAAACATCCTCTAAGCCTCAGTTTACTGTTAAGTAGGAAAAATAATATCTACCTCACAGCATTACTGGTATGACCACACA